TTTCAGCCAAGGCCGGCCGGCGGAGTGCGCCACCGCAGCGGGCGGCGGCAGTCACAACGGTCTCGGGGCCAGGACGCCAGCCCCAGGGCGCGCGGTCGGACGCCGCCGCCTGGGGCGGCGAGAGGTGGGGCGTCACACCAGTGCTAACCGTGCAGAGGAGGAGGAGGAGGAGGAGGAGGAGGAGGAGGTGGAGGAGGAGGAGGAGGGAGGAGGAGGGAGGGAGGGAGGGAGGGAGGAGGGAGGGAGGGAGAAAGGGAGGGAGGGAGGGAGGGAGAAAGGGAGGGAGGAGGAGGAGAGGGAGGAGGAGAGGGAGGAGGAGGAGGAGGAGGAGGAGGAGGAGGAGGAGGAGGAGGAGGAGGGGAAGAGCAGCCATGGGCGCAGTTGGGGCCCAGATCTCTGGCAGCGCTGGCTCCTGGCTCCAGACCAGGCGGCCTCGCACGCCAAGGCCTGGCCCACAAAACGGGCCTGCGGATGTCATGCGAGCGACGAGAAGACACGGGCCTTACGCGGGAGGACACACAGTGCGGGCGCAAGAGGAGCAGGAGGAGGAGGAGGAGGAGGAGGAGGAGGAGGAGGAGGAGGAGGAGGAGGGAAGGCAGGAGGAGGAGGAGGAGGAAGAAGAAGGAGGAGGAGGAAGGAGGAGGAGGAAGAAGAGGTGGAGGAGCAGAGGGAGGAGGAGGAGGAGGAGGAGGAGGAGGAGAAGGAGGAGGAGGAGGAGGAGGACAGAAAGTGCGGGCGCGGTCGAAAGAAACCTTCGCAAGAAACCCAACCCTGAAAACGCGCGCGGGCTGCACTGAGGGGAAAAAACCGGAGCACCCCGAGCGCAGCAGCCCCTCGGACGGCCGCGGGAAGTCACCGCGCAGCGCCCGGGGCGAAGAAACCGGGAATTCACCGCGCAGCGCCCGGGTGCCCTGACGAAACGTAGATGGCTTCTTGATGCGCGCCCCACTGTAGAGACCTAACGCGGCGGCTTATGCGGGCCGCCAGCGCGGCACGCTACAGTTCGGTCGGGCATGTCCTCCTACAGGGGGAATTAAAAATACCAAAGAGTATCTTTAAAAAATGTCTTTACTTTCTGGCGAAGGACCCAACAGGGCCACGAAAATGCCGAATTGCGCATGTTGGACGCATGCGGACGGTCCCACTGGGGGCTTCGGTGGAGCTCCCAATGGGGCCACGAAACGCTGTACTGGGTGGGTGAAAATGCCAAATTGGGTTTCCAGGACGCATGCTGGCGGTCCCACTGGGGGCTTCGGTGGAGCTCCTTATGGGACCACAAAACGCTGCACTGGGGAGCGAAAATGCCAAATTAGGTTTCTGGGACGCATGCGGGCGGTCCCACTGGAGGCTTCGGTGGGGCTCCCTATGGGGCCACGAAACGCTGTACCGGTTGGGTGAGAACGCGAACTTGGGCTTCTGGGACGCATTCGGACGGTCCCACTGAGGGCTCCGGTGAAGCTCCCTATGGGGCCACGAGACGCTGTACTGGTTGGGTGAAAATGCCAAATGGGGCTTCTGGGACGCATGCGGACGGTCCCACTGGGGGCTTAGGTGGAGCTCCCTATAGGGCCACAAAACGTTGTACTGGGTGGATGAAAATGCCAAATTGGGTTTCTGGGCCGCACGCGGACGGTCCCGCTGGGGGCTTCGGTGGAGCTCCCCATGAGGCCACGCAACTCTGTACTGGGTTGATGAAAATGCCAAATGGAGCTTCCGTGACGCCTGCGGGTGGTCCCACTGGGGGCTTCGGTGGAGCTCCATATGGGGCCACGAAACGCTGCACTGGGGAGTGAAAATGCCAAATTGGGCTTCCGGGACGCATGCGGACGGTCCCACTGGGGGCTTTAGTGGAGCTCCTTATGGGGCCACGGAACGCTGCACTGGGGAGCGAAAATGCCAAATTAGGTTTCTGGGACGCATGCGGGCGGTCCCGCTGGGGCCTTCGGTGGAGCTCCCTATGAGGCCACGAAACGCTGTACTAGGTGGGTGAAAACGCCAACTTGTCCTTCTGGGACGCATGCGGGTGGTCCCACTGGAGGCTTCGGTGGAGCTCCCTATGGGGCCACGAAGCGCTGTACTGGTTGGGTGAAAATGCCAAATTGGGCTTCCGGGACGCATGCGGGCGGTCCCACTGGGGGCTTCGGTGGAGCTCCCTATGGGGCCACGAAACGCTGCACTGGGTGGGTGAAACGCAGGGAGGAGGGGGAGGAGGGGGAGGAAGGAAGGAGGGAGGAGAGACGCTGGGACCGTCTCTTCAAAACGAGGACCCTACACCACAGGATGTTTGGGAAATATTTGAATAATCGTCCCCAAACGATTTTCTTGCATTGTTGATTGTTCCTTCTGTAGAGGGACATACCCAACTCTACGCTGCAGTGGAGACGAGGGCGCTTGCGCGCGAGCCTACGCGGGCAGCTTACGCGCCAAGGTCGGCGCAGTCGACCCCGTTTCCTTCAGTCGCTCACGTGGTGGTGCACACTTTCCCTCTCACGGCCCTCGCGGTCTGACCCAGCCCCCGACCAATGTATGTCTTCGCGGGAGCTCATCGCACGCCGGGCTGATGTGCACGGAAGCCCTGGGGCATGGCAAGGGGGTCCTCCCGCCTGGAGCTACGCTCTTTTTGCCAGCCGAGCTCGGTGCGACATCTGGCGCAAGGACAGCGGGTCCGATAAACTCGACCAGGGGTGGGCGAAGCGCTCTCCAGACGAAGTCAGGTACTCTGCCACGCGCCCCGTACACGCCCCAGACGTGGCGCCAAAAGAATCACCAAGAGCGAGAGAAACAAACGTAACCCCATGAAGAACTCTAACTGTGGGGTCTTCTTCTGTGGGCTGCGCAGCTGATATGTGGATGGGCTGCTTGGGACTGGCTGGGGAGGTGGCTGTGGAAAGATTCCGAAGCCACCTGAACTGGGGCTGGGTTGGCTTGGCTGGCCAGCTTGGCTGGCTGTGTTGGTGGCCTGCTGGCGGGGCTAGCTGGGCTAACTGGGCTGGCATGGCTGGCTGGGGGGCTGGGGGGCGCCGAAAACGGCTCCACACTTTACGCCAGGCACAAAAAATACCTAGGAAATGTTTGCCAGGGCTGCCTACGCTACCTTCCCTACCCAAAAAACGTTCGCCAGGAAAGATTTCTGGCAACAGCGCTGCCTACGACCTGCCCCGCGGGAGCAAGCCCGCACGCTCCCAGTGACCCTCCTGCCGACTTCGCTTTCAACATCACATGCTGCCAACTCGAGCCGGCACGCCCGCGAGCGCCCTGGCAAACATGTTTCAGCAGCGCTGGCAACAAGAAGTGATCCGGCAACTGAATCTGGCAACCTGCACGCTCGCAGCTGGTTCTGTGACAGCAGTGCTGGCAGTGCCATGCGCACGAGAAATCAAGGCGACACGCTCGGAGTGAACTCTCCGCCGTCTTGGCTTCCAGCCCAACCTGCTGCCAGACGCAAGCTCGAACGCTCGGAGTCCCAGCAATGGAGACACCAAAAGGTACCGATACTGCTGCTCCCCAGACCTCTCCTGGGGTGCGTTCTGACCAGGATTCCGAGGTGCATCCAGCGGTGGTGACGAGGGCCGCCCAGGAAGCCCTCAAAATAGGAAAACGAGCGCAGGGTAGAGGTATGGGTATCTTTGCCTCCTCCGAGTCCCAGCAACACCGTTTCAACAACGCTGGCAGAGCGGCGAAGTGCACGGGAAGCGAGTCAGCCCGCTTGGGCTTCCTGCCGAGAGCGCCCGAACAGCGCCCTGTGTGCGGTGCGCCGCGGCCGCGAACTGCCACGCTCGGGCGGGACTCCTGGGCAGAACGCGGGCTGCCCGAGGTGCGCGGGAAGCAGGCCGGCCTGCTCGGGAACCGTGGCTGCTCGAGGCGCGCCAGAAGCGAGCCGGCACACTCGGAGCGCGGCGGCGGAGCAGGTAGGCCCATACCTCTGCCCTCCCCTCGCCGTTCCCCTTCTTGGGGGCCTCGTGGGAGGCCCTCGTCGCCACCGCTGGGTTCGCCTCGAGATCCTGGTCAGAACGCACCCCGGGAGAGGTCCAGGGAGTAGCGGTATCGGTACCTTCTGGCTGCCCCAGCAGGAGGAGGAGGCGGCGGCGGCGGCGGCGGAGGAGGAGGAGGAGGAGGAGGCGGAGGAGGAGGAGGAGGAGGAAGGAGCAGACTTCGCCAGGTGCCCTGGGAGCGAGCCAGCACGCTCGGGGGGAGCTGCTCCTGGCGGCGGAGCTGGCAGCACGACAAGCGCCAGGAGCGCGCCGGCACGCTCGAGAGGCTCACGGGAGGGCCGCGAGAGGGACGGTGGCCCAGAGTCTTCCCTCTGAGAACCGGGATAAGGTGACAAAGGAACTAAGGTCTGACGTTCACTCTGCTCAGTGGTAGAGGGTACGGGAAGAGACATCGATAAGACAGTAGTTAACCGGTGAGCAATTGTACTCAGGATTAGTAAGGGAGGAGGCCGGCCGACGACCGACGACCGACGACACGCGGCGGCCGACGGCACGACACACGGGAGGGCCACGAGAGGGACGGTGGCCCAGGGCACATGCACTCAGGGAGCTATGAAGTAGAGAGGGCAAGGCCCTCCAAGCAAGTCTAGTCTGGGAAAAGGAAGGGGTCCAGAGGGAAGCAAGGTAGGGCTGTGGGCTTGGAAGTACATGCAGCCACAGACGGCTACCGATACGAATTCACCCTACTGACAGATCCGCGCCGAGGGTGAAACGAGAAAAAGTGAAGCAGGGAGAGGGAAACGGACGGGAACAATTTGAGCTGGGGGACCTGGCGAACAAGATGGAGCTACGCGACGCTCTGTGCAAGGCCACCCAACTCGGACACCACGAGGAGTCATGCCTTACTGGCTTTCGCAAGTCACAGGTGGGTGCGCGTGGCGCGTAGGCCATGCAGAAGGCTCAAACAAACTGGTTCGAGTTCGTGGAGTCTCAATGAACTCGTTAGATTGGGCGCTCCAAAGAGGGCCTCGTCATCAACAAAGTGAAAGGTTGGTATGTCGCTCTCGGTGGAAGCCAGCTGAATGCTGACGGAAGCTGGCAGAAGTTGGCTCACTGCCTCTGCGCCCTCGCGCTGCTCCTGGCCCCATATCGCCGGTCACTCAGATGCGCGCCGCGCAACTCCATGTCCGCGTCTGTGACCTGTTCCAAGACCCCGTCGTCCTACGGAGTGCCTATCGCCTCCCCCCTCACCTCCTCCTCCTCCTCCTCCTCCTTCCTCCTCCTCCTCCTCCTCCTCCTCCTAACTGCTCCTCCTCCTCCTCCTTCCTGCTTCTCCTCCTCCTCCTCCTCCTCCTTCCTGCTTCTCCTCTCCTCCCTGCTCCTCCTCCTCCCTGCTTCTCCTCCTCCTCCTCCTCCTCCTCCTCCTCCTCCTCCCCCTCTCCTCCTCCTCCTCCTCCCTCCTCCTCCACCACCACCAACACCCACCTCCTCCTCCTCCTCCTCCTCCTCCTCCTCCTCCTCCTCCTCCCCCTCCTCCTCCTCCTCCTCCTCCTCCTCCTCCTCCTCCTCCCCTCCTCTCCTCCTCCTCCTCCTCCTCCTCCTCCTCCTCCTCCTCCTCCTCCTTCCTGCTCCTCCTCCTTCCTGCTCCTCCTCCTACTGCTTCTCCTCCTCCTCCTCCTCCTCCTGCTCCTCCTCCGCCTCCTCCTCCTCCTCCTGCTCGAGCCGAAGCGAGCCCAGAGGCCCCAAGGAGGCCAGGCGACCTCCCAGGACTTCTGCTGCTCCCCATCGCACTCAAGGGCCAAAGCCCAGACGTAATCTCGAGCAACCGGAACAAAAAGGTTACCGAGAACGCGTCGAACGAGCATCGCCTCCCAGGGCCCGACGCGTGAAAGCCCTACAGTTTCTGTGCTTTCCTGGTGCTCGATTTTTTCTGGTGGTCAAGGCTAAAGTAGGTTGAAGTAGGTTGGAACATCATAACCCAAGACAGCCCGGGGACTCCAACCATGAGTGGAAGAGACTGGTCTCCCGAAAGGTCACCCGCATGGTCATCCGCAGGATCAACCGCATGGTCTCCCGTATGGTCCCCCTTATGGAAAGCGCACTGGAAATGCTGGACTTGCGATCTGGGTGTGATGCGCGGGGTCTTCTGCCACGGGGACGTGGCTGTTATGTGTGCGTGTGTGATTAGACGGTGCCTAAGCTCACCGCAAAGCATCGACACTTCAGCACTACCTCTGCAGACGCGCCCACAGGTTTTCCCAGTGCGACCGACGGCGTCGTAAATGCCGAGCGTCGAAGCGTCAACAAGGACCAACTGATCGACGACCGTGGCCAAAATGTCAAGGGCAGCCGCGACGTCGGCGTACCCCTGAATTGTGTTTTTGCCCGAGGTCTCCTCTTTCGACGTAGACGGAGACTCGCACTGCTCGGTTGAGGATGCCGTGGCGCACCCTCCTAGGAAAACATGATGCGATGCCAACATCCTGATGCCTCCTCCTCCCCCTCCACCTCCTCCTGCTCTGAGCATCCCGCCAACAGGGCGACTTGACCGACAGCACGCCTTTGAAGGACACCCAGATCTTGTTTTTGAGTGTCTTGATGCCCGACGCGGGTCTGCGCTTGCAGAGGGCCTCGGATTGCAGCAGACACAAGGTCCGAGGATTTCGCTCGCTCCTACTCCTCCTTCACATCCTCCTCTTCCTCCTCTTCCTCCTCCTCCTCCTCCCCCTCCTCCTCCTCCTTCTCCTCCTCCTGCTCTCTCCACTCACCTCCTCGCGACGGCGCGGAAGGCGGGCGAGGAGGAAGCGGAGAAGAGACGGGATGGAAATGGAGCCGAGGACGAGGACGAGCACGACGAGCCGTGGCAGGCCGGACCCCCGCGCGCGGGGCGTCAGGCGCTCAGCGGAGGAGCTGGCCGGCACTCCGGGCGCACTGCGTCGCAGAGCACGCACATGTCGGGGGCGACCTCGTTCAGGAAGCCACAGCCGCCACAGCTCCAGGCGGCGCACGCGGCGGCCGGGGCCCTGCCCACCGACTCGAGGACGTTGAGGCCGGGAAGGCCGTTTGGCAGGCTCCTGGCGGTCTCGAGCGCCCCTCGCTGCCGCGCGCTGAGGAGACCCGACAGCGGGTCGGCCGCCTCGCCCGGGTCGACGGCCTCGAGGCTGTCGCACAGCGTCTCGCGGGTGCTGTCGGAGTCGCCGTGCGCGTCCGCGGCGGGGGCGGCCAGCTTGTGGGCCTCCGGCGCGCGCGGCGCAGCGGGCGCGGGAGGCTCCGCCGCGCAGTGGCCTGCGCCGTGCGCCCCCTCCCGCGCGCCGGGCGGAGCGCGGCCCGCGGGCGGCGGGGCGAGCGACGCCGCTGGCGCCAGCCCCTGCGCGGCCCCCTCGCGGGACTCGGCGGCCTGCAGGCCCCGCGGCGGCCTCCCCTCTGCCTCCAGCTCGGCGGACCTGCGGCGCCAGCCCCGCTGGATGCGCGCCGCCGCCCGGCTGCGCTGGGCCTCTGTCCTGCATGCCTGCTCCGTGGCCGGCTCCGCTGCGAGGCTCTGCCCCGTGGGCAGGGCCTCTGCCGCCTCGGCGGGGCCCGCGCCACCCACGGCGGCCGGGGGCGTGCGCGGAGGGCTGCCCCGCTCGTCGGGGCCGCCCGCGCAGCTGGAGCCGGGCTCGTCGGGAAGCCGCGTGCTCGAGCGGCTCCTCGGGGTCTCGATCATGTGCGCGCCGAGTGCGGTGGCCAGGTCGGCCGCCAGCGCGGCCTCTTCGAGCACTGCGTCGCCTGGCACCCGGCGCATCCAGCCTGCCTGCTGCGACACCAGGCTCCCGGCTAGCACCTCCACCGCCGCCTCGCCCGTGGCGTCCGCCGACGCAGTCTCCGACGCCGCCGTCTGCAGGTCTGCGCTGCCAAGTCCCTGCTCCTGCGCGGCACCAGGCCTTGTCGCGGCCTCTTCCTCGCACCCATCCTGGTGGGCCTCTGACGCAGCAAGGGGGCGTGCCGCGGAGGGCTTCGGCGCGGCAGCGGACCACGGCGCAGTGGAGGGCTCCATGGGCTGTGGTGCAGCGGGCGACCCTGGCGCCGCAGGAGCCTCTGGCGTGGTTGAGGACTGCGGGACGGCGGAGGCCTCTAGCGTCACGATGGGCTGCGGCGCTGCGGCGGCCTCCTCTGACGCCGCATCGGCCTGCGGCAAGGCAGAGAGGCTCCAATAATAGTGGTCGGACTCTGGTGTCGCGAGAGACTCTGGCGCAGCAATGGACTCCAGCTGACGTCCGGGCGGGCGACAGTGAGCTCTAGCTCTCAACGCTGCGGCGGGCGACGTGTCGTCGGTGGGCTCCAGTGTCGCGGTATCTTCCTGCACGGCGGCAGGCTCTGGCGCGGCCGAGGGCTCTGGTAACCTGCGGGACGGCGGGGGGCTCCGGCGCAGAGGCAGGCTGCGGTCCGTGAGCTCCGGCGCCATGGTGACCTCCAGCGCCGCGGAGTGCTCCAGTGCGCCAGGGAGCTTCGGCGAGGCGGCAAGCCCTCGGGACGCCTCCTGCACCGCCTCGCTCCGGTCCGGCTTCTCGGACGCGGTGGCGGGCTGCGGCGCGGCGGGGGGCCCCGTGGGCTGCGGCTCCTGCTGCTGCTGCTGGAGCACCGCGGCAGCCTCCGGCGAGGCAGCGAGGGGCAGCGTCGCCGCGTATGCGTCCTCCTTCGGGGGGGGGGTCAGCGCGAGGAAGGGTGTCCAGGATTCTGGGCGGGACCCGCACAGCTCTGCCCCCGAAGCTACATCACTGCGCAGGACCGAGGCTACATTCCTGGAAAAACGAAAGCCCCACTCGTTCCTGTGGGCCTGATTCGCAGGGTCCAGACCTCCAGCGCTTTGAAGAAGACACACACTGTCCCTCTCTCTCACTCTCTCTCTCTCTCTCTTTCTCTCTCTCTCTCTCTCTCTCCCTCCCTTTCCCACCCTGAGAGATTCATACTGCTGCTCATCATCTCTCCTCTCCATCTCCATCCATAACGTCTTGGACCAGACCCTGTTCGAGAGTGCCATCCGCCGACGACACGCTCACAGCGGTTGGCATGGTGTCAGTCTGACATCGTCAGGCTCTCGAGGGATTGGTTCGCGGGCATTGTATGTGTGTGTGCGCAGAAAGGAGACTCTCTCTCTCAGATTGCGATTCAAGCTGGCCTCTCAGGCAACGGGGCATCACAGTCTCCGTCCTTCGTACCAGAACGGACGCGCGTATTCTACCTCTGTGTGCAGCAGCTCAGAACCACCTCACCTCCGAGTTCTTTTCCATCGTGCTTCCGAACTACTATGCCATCGACGTTGTTGACGGTGTGTGACCAGCCCACGATATTCTTGCTCATTCAGGACCTCGTCTGTCGACGGAAGGAGAGATGACTAGCAACAGTGACCCAGACGTCGGCGGAGTACTACCGAATCCTTGGCCCCTCGCTGTGGATGATGGAGGAGCAGTGGAGACGCTTCCAGCACGAAGATGCACAGCGTCACGAGGAGGCCATCAACATGTGGATCGCGAACCTCACGTTCGTGGAGAGGCACGGCCACGCAGCGGAGTCGACATCCAGTTCGGGCTCGAGATGGGCCCGACCACGGGCGAGGAGCTGGAGCAGCTACGACTCTTGATGCCACGGCCGACAGATCAATGTGCAGCTCTTCGACGAGCTGAAGAATCCCACCAGCCCTCTGGGCGTAGGTGGTTTAGGGAGTTTCCTCTTCCATCTTCCCTCCTTCCCCTTCGGGGAGGGGTTTGCCCCTCCCCCTAACGCCCTCCCCTGGACCTGGACGGGGGGTTCCGCGACGCGTTGGAGCGTCCAAGATGGCCCAAGACGGCTCCAAGAGGGCCTCGGAGAGGCCAAGATGACCTCCAAGATGCCTCGAGATAGCCCAAGATGCCTCAAGATGGCTCCCCAGATGCTCCAAGAGGCCCCAAGATCGCCCCAAGACGACTCCAAGAGGCCAACTAGCTTTCCCAGGAGGCCTCCAAGAGGCCAAAATCCTTGAAAAGCCGAAGGAAAATCAATGTTTTTTGCTTTCTCGCTTTTCGCTTCCAATGGCCATTCGAGGCCTCAAGATGGCTCCAAGATGGCCCAAGAGGGCCCCAAGAGGGGCCCAAGATGGCCCCAAGACGGCCCCAAGAGCGCCCAAGAGCGCCCCAAGAGCGCTCCAAGAGGGGCCCAAGAGGCGATTTTAGGCGCTCTAGAGGGGCAGGGCGAATCCGGACCCTCCCTTTCTTTGATCGATCTCCTCCAAGATGGCCCCAAGAGCGCCCCCAAGGCCCCCAAGAGCGCCCCAAGAGGGCCCCAAGAGGCGCCCAGGAGGCCCCAAGAGGCCCCCAAGAAGCCCCCAAGAGGCTCCCAAGAGACCCCCAAGAGGCCTCAAGAGGCTTCCCGAGGCACCTAAGACGCTTCAAGAGGCCTCCGGGACCGCCAAGACGCTCCCAAGACGCCCTAAGAGGCCTTCAGGACGCTCCAAAGAGACATCCGAAGAGACTCCGAGGGGCATCCAAGAAGCCTCTGGCCATTTTGCTCGCCCTTCTCCTCCTCCTCCTGCTCCTCCTCCTCCTCCTCCTCATCCGCCTATTCCTCCTCGTCCCTCCTCCCTCCTCCCGCTCCCCCTCCTCCTCCTTCAGTTCGTCCTCCTCCTCCTCCTCATCCTTCTCCGATTCCTCCTCCATCCTCGCCGTCTTCGGTAAGACGGGTTCCCCGGCCCTGTGTTACTCTGTATGCTCCCTCACTTCCCTGATCACCTCCGTTCGCCTGGGCATCGTTTCTGGATGGGCTGGTGGGGATACGCGAAGCGTCCAGAATTTGTACGTCTCACCCTCCAGAAGGGCACTGGCCTCACCATGGGTGAGGCAGGTGCCAACCTTCGACAGTGGTTGTGGTCGCGACGTGAACACCGACATGTGCGTGCGTTCATTTCTACCTTCCTGGCCATGATGTGCGACTTTGTGGGAGAAAGAGAGTCGTATGCTCGTCCCTTTCGAGGCGCGGCGCTGAGGAGCACGATCGGCGTGGTCCTCATCATGTCGGGTGTGTGCAGCCTCCGTCATGCCCTCTCCATGCCCACAGTCCCCCGATGGGCCCGCCGAGTGTATCGCATGCTACCGCCAGAGCGGAGGCGAGGGATATATGACTGGTCGGAACCTATTGTCTCAACTGCCCTGTTGAGCGTTCTTGGACATAGTTGTGAACCTCATCGAGCTGTAGTGTATGCTCTAAAATGCCATGCTTCCCAATATATAGGCAAGGCGTCTCTCAGGACAGGTGCTCTTCCTGGACTCTTGGGACGTATCCAAGAGCAACTACGTGCTCTCCTTCACCCACGAATTCGACATGGGAATCGGCCTCGATGTCGAGAACTTAGACGCTCAGGAGGCTCTTTGTTCTTTCTTCCAGTACTATGGGTTCCGACCGAAGCAGCGAGTATTCATTATGAGACGTTTGCCATACGACGGCTTCGACCATCTGCGAACCTAGCCAATGCTACGGAGTCTGAACAACGAAGTCTACGACGTGGTCTCGGTACCCGATATGTCCCACCCAAAATCAAACCACCCCAGTCATGCCCTCCCTCCTGGCGACGACCTCCTCCTCCTCGACGTATGCACCTCCTACATGGACGACAGCGACACCCGCGCTAATGAAGATAGTACCCAAGGCCTGTGTGAGACCCCTGGCCAAGCACCCTGGAGCCCTCTCAAAACCAGCCCCCTACAGTGCCCTCTACACCTTGCAGATCCAGGAGAGGTTCCACTGCACAAGTGAAGAAGGACATCTATGGATCCTCGCCCCAGAGCGCCTAAGCCCACTACTTGCTCTCCCGGCTGCTAAATGGCGACCACTTCCAGTATGCGTGTACCTTTCCAGAATGGAGTTGGGTGCGATCCTGTTCCAGGCGGCTGAGATGGCCCCAGATTTGGTGTGCAATGTTACTCGAGTGCGCATGGCCAGATTTCACATTGACCAGCATCTCAGAGGCTTGGGACTTCCCGTCGAGTTCCAGGCGCGGCACCTAAAGTATTTGGTCAAAGGATCAGTACAGGCTATGTGCAACCAGATGCGGTTTGAACCAGCCCGCTCGTGGTACAGTCAACCTCCTCGTGTCTCCTTTCGAGCTCGCAGGATCTGGAAAGATCGCGTCTCGGCCAGCCGTGCTTGTGCAGAGTATCAGGTCGACTGCCTGCCGACCTCGGTGCATGAGTCGAGGTTCGTCTCAGGACCTCTCAACTTGAAGCAGCTACCAGGACCGTGGAAGCCCCCAGTGTGGCACGTTCCTGTGGTATCCTTTCGAAGTGCGAAGGCGGGACTA